GATGGCCGACAACCGCCAACACCCCTGCTGTACCTGCTCGAGCCTTTAGCGCTGGCCGACGACATTGGGCTTTCCACCTCTTAGCGGGGCTCCGGCACAACCCCAGCCGTTCCATGGCAGGAGAGGCCCGTGACAACCCTCTTCTTTGTTGCCTCTTCCAACACGCAAGTCAACTAAATTTTATCATGTCGGGGCGCTGGCCGACAACCGGCAAATGGTTTGGAGTTGATGACTGAATGTACATACCATATGATGCAAAAGTTGTGACATCATAAATATCTATTTTTGGAATTTCTTCTTTTCCCGAAAGAGCATCAACAATGCTCTTTCGGAAATGATCTTTCGGAAAATGAAGAAAAATGAAAAAATTCCAAAAATAGATTTTTTTTTGATGACGTCACACTTCACCACTTTCATGAGACCTTACCCGAGTCCCCTATATATACTGCAAGAGCACTCGAAGCCCCTCAGAAAATGCACCCTTACAACGTGCGTTTCAATGACAGATTTTCACACCCAATTTGTTTGCGCCTCATACGTGTCTGTAGAAAATCTTGCACCCGGAAGTCTTTTGATATGCTCAAAACGTTGTGCTTTCCATAACTAGCGGAACTCCGTCTCACCCGCAGGCGTCTCCATGGCTGGAGTACTCCAGCAATATAGAGAGTCAACGCTAATGCGTATTGACCTTTAGCACTGCACTACGTGTTAATAGGCAGCATTTATAGTCAATCCACTAATAACACACAAATGCACGCAATCCTGCCGATGTGGTTGATCGGCAAGTTTGACAGTGGACTTACAATTTGAATTTTTATTCTTTCTAACATCGGAAAGTTGAATTTGTTGTATTTTACTGCTAATTAGGTGTCATCAATTGTCACTAAAGTACCGATTTTGAGTGAAATTAGTTGAGTTTTGTACAGTGGTGTTTGAAATGTTGAGAATCAATAGCACATATTGTAATACACAGCCAGGATAGTAATGCACCTAAGTGTGGGCTGGAGAGGCCCGCGGCAAATGACAGAATCATATGCAGACTTTGACCCGTAACTCCGGAGTGGAGATAGGACTACTCTACTAAAACATACCAACGATCGACTAAATCTTCATCAATTGTTCAAATAATGGTCATGATTTAAAAAGTCGTTATGTTTCTTATCTGTTTCGTGTCAATTTTTTAATCTTTTTGGGAGTATTTTGCTAGAAATGAAGGCTTATAATATACGCTTTCTCACGGGATTCACGGCAAACTGCTGCACAATATACAATAATCATACCCCGTACTGACGGTGGGGTGCGGGCGACCGTACACTAGGATTACAGTCGCACTCCACACGATTGCTCACGAATGCACCTCCGTGGTACTGCTGTCTGGTAACATAATGATTGTAGAATATGTCTAAGGTCTTGGAGGAGGGGATCAGACCCACCTTTGGATGGATGAACTCAACATCTGGTAGCTCTTTTGTAGCTGGTTCACCCTCCTTTCCCCACTCGAAGACGTTGCACAGCTTCTTGAATATGCCCAGGGCTATGTGGGTACTAGGTACGTCATCAACCTAATCCAAAGAACGGTGTTATAGTAGTAATATATAGCGTTAAATATCTTGAAATTATTGAAATTGTTGATTTATTATATTATTTGAGACTATGTGGTACTTCTTATTAAATTTATCAATTACATTATGAAATGCCTGACACGTTTATATTTCACAAATGTTTTGTGCATGAAGAATTGAAATGTGTTGTTTTTATGTCTTCATTGAATACGAAAAAGAGGGTAATCATTATCATATTAACTTTAAATCGAGAAATGTGGGATAAGATATTCACAATTTTGTCCACATAATAGTTACATGCTCATCAACTTCAATCGGTATCATTGGTTTTTGCACAACATTGTGTGGCATTTCTTTGGCGTTGCTTGGTATATTGCATTTTTTTGGATGAACTTCTTGTAATCCCTCTTAATCATATTACAGGATCGTTTTGTGAGGGAACCCTTTCGTGGAGACCCCTTTGCATCCATGCTTTTGGGGTACCACACAATACAGGCAGCAGTAGGCCCTACTGAGCTGTTAGAAATATAATGTTTTGTCAATCATTTCACGTACACTCCATTCTCAAAGATATCTTATATTGAGCTTAATTCCTGCAAGTAGTCCTTTCTGTAATCTTACTTGAATTATCAATACAATTTGTAAGTGCACTACGTGTACATGGCGTATATGGCACTCGCCATGTTGGATTGTAATATAAGGTGTAAGGTATTTGTATTTCACTTTAAAATATATATTTGCTATGTGCAGCATTCTCACTCTTGTCACATTGCCTTAACAGTATGTCACACGTAGCAGTCCACTATGTCGACGTCCACATCTAAAAGTCCCTATATAGGTCGGTAGTTTAAATCAGTGAACCTACACGCAACAAGTCTAGCTTTTAAGTAGGTTCACTTTCATTTCCGCGTATTTAATGATTTACAGAGCTTTTCTTTTTTTCTTCATGTTATTAATTACTATGATTCCGGATTTTTACTTCCACACATCTTTTATCTTAAGAAATGTCAATGTTTTGTAACATGTATCATGGTTTGTTATTTTTGAATAAAATATGAATGAAATCAACCAATCGATCAATCAAATCAATCTATGTGAAAACACAAGGGGCTTGGGGGAGACTAGGTTTGCAACATGACGCTCGTCCGCTCTCGTTCTGTGTGCAAATATGAATATCATTGTTGAACATTCTATTTGTACTATTCAATTGTAATTCTTCCATGCCCCAGAATGGGCCGTTAAATGAAATGAAAAAAAAGCATTGTCATTGTCACGCTTGTCCCCCGCGCTATGGGAATTCCCACATTTGTGTGTATATCGAAAGCAGTGTAGGTTTGGTCTTATGCTGCAATTCTGTATCGGTGTGTATGGCATGGAATTTTTATTTTTAAATTGGTATGGAATATGGAGGAAGAAGCCAACATGTGTTTTTTAAAAAATGCTAATGATACTAAAAGTCACTGTATCTGGGTGTATACCTGTAGCCAGGGGCGTAGATCCCGGGGGGGGGGGCTGCATCCCCCCTGGCCTGAAGTAGGGGGTGGCCTGTACAAACATCCCCCCTGCATCCCCCCCCTGAAAAAAAAGCTTATTCAGCGGTCGGCTGAATCGTTGCGATTTTTTGGAAACCAAAAAAAAAAAAGTGTCCTCTTACCCCCCCCCCCCCCCCCCGCTTATTCAGCGGTCGGCTGAGTCGTTGCGAAATTTCGGCCCGATTTATAAATGTTAAAATCCTGCGTACGCGCCTGGCGTGTAGTATGTGATGGCTATCGCCGATCATCCCCCCACTCCTCGGTACGGATTTACGCCCCTGCCTGTAGCAGTATAAATGGCGAATATACAGTGTAACCCATAAAGTTGGAATGATATTTTCTTGCCTCTTTTCATGAAATGCTTGACAATGTGACAATTAGTACTGTATACATGAAGTGTAAACCTTCTCGGAACTTTATTTATCAATTTTTATGAATCCTTATAGTGTATTCAATAACATTCTGAGAAGATATGAACGTTATCTATAGTACAGGGGTGGTCATGCTAACATTCTTGTATCATGTCTATATGATTTCTTAATGGAGACCTAAATGATGAGTTATATCATTAGAAGCTATCGGTTGACTGATATCTCAATGTTATAGACATTCTTTGGTTAAGTTATTAGTAGAGAAGTAATTATTATGAGATCCATGAAGAGAGATATCATGCGCTTGTAAATAAAGCACGGAATATGGAAAGTTCCAACCTACAAAACGTAAACCGTTGCCATCTGTCAGGTTAATAACCGTGACCCAAATATTGAAACTCGCCACGTCAACAATGAATTGGGAACATATCGTTTGTTCTTTTTCAGACGACGTGTATGAATATGTATTTCAAGAAGACTGGGGATTTTCACATGCGTAGGCGTATAGTGTATACCTCACAGGTTCATTAGATGCGATCATTTTGTTCATTCTTTCTATGTTAGTGAATTAGCATGATTTCCTCTTTTCAGGTATTTTCATAACAGTTTCAAACAATTTTCTTCTTTAAAAAAGAAAATGTAATGCTTCCTTGGATAAATTGCAATTATTTAAATTGTCTTCTCATTACACTGGTTGAAGATTTACGAAGATTTTGTTTGTCCCAGCCCAATTCCACACGTGAAATTAACGAAATGCCGACGATTGCTTACAAAATGAACATTCGATTAATGTATTGTGTTTGGGTTTTCCCAGTTAGTGGCGTATCTTCGGTGGCAGAGGGGGCACTAGAAAATTGCCCCTAGAACACTTCTGCATTCGAGAAAAATTGAATTACAAAATTTACTGGTGCTCCTATTACTGGTGCTCCCAGTAATATTTTGGTAAATTTCAAATAGCGGCTATGGCCGTTTAACGGTAGCTGCGACCACGAAAATCTCAGAATATGCAGTTGTGATATATATTTTCCA